TTTCCAGACCCTCCCACCCCAACCATTCCAAGGTTCTGTGACCTCTAAGGATCCTTCCATCCCAACAGTCCAATTGGTCTGTGACCTTTAAGGACCCTTCCAATTCATTAATGCAGTGGTTCTCTGAACTTCAAGGACCCTTCCAACAAACCATTCCATGCATCTGTGACCTCTAAGGACCCCTCACTCCAGCCATTCCATGGTTCTGTGACCTTTAAGGACCCTTACATCCCAGCCATTCAATGGTTCCGTGACCTTTAAGGACCCTTCCATCCCAACAGTCCCATGGTTCTGTGACCTTTAAGGACCCTTCCAAGCAACCATCCCATGGTTCTGTGACGTTTAAGGACCCTTCCATCCCAGCCACTCCATGTCTCTGTGACCTTTAAGGACCCTTCCATCCAAACCATTCCATGATTCTCTGACCAACCATTCCATGGTTTTGTGACCTTTAAGGACCCTTTTATCCCTGCCATTCCACGGTACCGTGACCTTTAAGGACCCTTCCACCCTAACCATTCCATGGCTCTGTGACCTCTAAGAACCCGTTCATCCCAGCCATTCCATGGTCCTGTGACCTTTTCAGACTCTTCCATCCCAACCATTCCATGAACTTGTGACCTTTAAGGACCCTTCCATCCCAAGAGTCCCATGGTTCCGTGACCTCTGCAGACTCTTCTATCCCAACCATTTTTTGGTTCTATGAGCTTTCAAGACCCTTCCATCCAAGCCATTTCATGATTCTGTGACCCACCATTCCGTGGTTCTGTGACCTTTCCAGTCCCTTCCACCCCAACCATTCCATGGTTCTTTCACTTCTAAGGACCCTTCATCCCAGACTATCCATGGTTCTGTGACCTTTAAGGACCCTTCCATCCCAACAGTTCCATGGTTCCGTGACCTTTCAGACCCTTCCCCCATATATTCCATGGTTCTGTGGCCTTTAAGGACCCTTCCAACCCAACCATTCCATGGTTCTGTGGCCTTTAAGGACCCTTCCAACCCAACCATTCCATGGTTCTGTGACCTTTCCAGACCCTTCCATCCCTACAGTCCCATGGTTCTGTGACCTTTAAGGACCCTTCCACCCCAACCATTCCATGGATCTATGACCTCTCCAAACCCTTCCATCCCAACCATTCCATGGTTCTGTGACCTTTCCAGACTCTTCCATCCCTACAGTTCCATGGTTCCGTGACCTTTAAGGACCCTTCACCCCAGACATTCCATGGTTCTGTGACCTTTCCAGACCCTTCCATCCCAACCATCTCATGGTTCTGTGGCCTTCCAAACCCTTCCACCCCAACCATCCCATTGTTCTGTGATCTTCAAGGACCCTTCCAACTACACCATCCCACGGTTCTGTCACCTCTCCAGCCCCTTCTATCCCAACCACTCAATTGTTCTACGGCCTTTAAGGACCCTTCAAACACAGTAATCCCTTGTTTTTGTGATCTAAAAGGACCCTTCCATCCCAACCATCCCATTGTTCTGTGATCTTTAAGGACCCTTCCAACCCAACCATGCTTCCAATCCCTTCCAACCCCACCGTCTCATGGTTCTGTCACCTCTCCAGCCCCTTTCATCCCAACTACTCAATTTTTCTACAGTCTTTAAGGACCCTTCCACCTCAAACACCCTTCACCTCCCCTATGTTCCGACCCACTCAGGACCTGTACCACCCCCAGCGCTGGCTGCCATCGCACCTCTCCTCCCCGTGGCGCTGGGCACCGTGCCGTACTTCCGCCGCTCCTGGGCTCCGTCCCCCACGGAAGCGATGGAGGCGAGGAGGAGCTTTGCCTGCTCCTCGTCGTAGCGCTGCCGCGTCAGCTCGGCGCCTTTGGCCGACAGCAGGTACAGGAAGGCCGCGTCGCCGTCGCGCCGGACGCCGTACGACCAAACCGTGCGCTCATCCACGCACAGGCACTGCCCGATGATCCACCTCTGGACCAGGGGGTGGAAACCGTAGTCCTGGAACACCTGAGGGTGGCAGAGGGGGAGGTGGAGCTCAGTTAGAGGGAGGTGTCGTGCGGAGATTTTGGCTCAGAGATGGCTGTGAGATGCAGGAGCAGCCGAGGATGTCCGGGATGAGGGCACTGAGTGCATCCTCAGTGATGGCACACAGCATCAATTTGGGAAGGAGCGGTGGTCTGACAGAGAGGAGAATCATGGAACCATAGAATGGCCTGGGTTGGAAAGGACCCCAAGGATCAAGAAGCTCCAACCCTTCAGACACACGCAGGGCCACCAACCTCACAGAATCACAGAATCATAGAATGGCCAGGGTTGGAAGGGACCTCAAGGATCACAAAGCTTCAACCCCCACCAATGCAGGGCCACCAACCTCCACATTTCACAGCAGCCCAGGCTGCCCAGAGCCCCATCCAACCTGGCCTTGAACATCTCCAGGGATGGACGGGGCATCCACAGCCTCTCTGGGCAGCTGTTCCAGCACCTCACCGCTCTCACAGCAAACAACTTCCCCCTCACATCCAACCTAAAGGCACTACAGAGGGACCTGGACAGACTGGATCGATGGGCAGAGGCTAACTGCATGAGTTTCAATAGGGCCAAGTGTCGGGTCCTGCATTTTGGTCACAACAACCCCAGGAAACCCTGCAGGCTTGGGGAGGAGAGGCTGAAAGCTGCCCGATGGAAAGGGAGCTGGGTGTGCTGATGGGCAGTGGGCTGAGTGTGAGCCAGCAGTGTGCCCTAGCGGCCAAGAAGGCCAGTGGCATCCTGGCTTGGATCAGGAATGGTGAACGTTTGGATTTTGATTTGGATGTTGTGTTGAGGGACGTGATTCAGTGAGTTCTGTTGGTGATGGGTGGATGGTTGGGCTGCATGATCTTGAAGGTCTTTTCCAACCTCGGTGATGCTGTGATTCTGTGTGGGTCTCTGTGGAGCCCTATGGGGCGCTGTGGGTCCCTATGGGGCAGTGTGGGTCTTATGGAGCCCTATGGAACGTTTGTAGGAACGTTTGGATTTTGTAGGAACATTTGGATGTTGTGTTGAGGGCCGTGGTTTACTGAGAACCATTGGTGATGGGTGGATGGTTGGACTGAATGATCTTGTAGGTCTTTTCCAACCTTGGTGATTCTGATTCTGTGAGCAGGACTGGAAGTCATCCTGCCCTGCTGTTGGCCTCACCTTGAGAGCTGTGTTCAGTTTTGGGCACCTCCATACAGAGAGGACCCTGAGCAGGTCCAACAAAGGGCAGCAAGGCTGGGGAAGGGCCAGGAGAACATTTCCTGTGAGGGAAACTGGGGCTGTATGGTCTGAGGAAGAGGAAGCTGAGGGGAGACCTTATTGCTCTCTTCAATCCCTGGCTGTGTTTACATCTGCCTGGATGTGATGCTGCCCAAACCCTTCTTTGTTTTTGGCTCAAAGCTGCTTTCAGAGCTATTTGTTCTGAGGAGGCGATGGTGGGTGTCCCTGTGTGGCAATTAACAGCACTCTGTGGACATCTGAAAACATTTCTTTGGAGCTGTCTGCCTTCAGAACAGAGTGCTGAGCAGTGTTTGCTGGAGGAAGATGTGACCTGTGAGCAAATAACTCCAACCAGCTCGCTATGGGAGGCTGGGGGATGATAGCACTGCATGCT